ATCATCTGCAATTTCATCCCAATCGAGATCAAGCAAAGACCAGGACTCCTAAAAAACCGAAAACAAATGTTTTATTTACAGGAAGAGATCTGTACACTGTGCATACATAAAAATATACAAAATCAAAATAGAAAATATAAAAGTGTTAAAATGTATACAAACACTGTTTTAAAAATGTGACTCCTGTAAAATCTCAAGCTTCAATTTGTTGAAGAGTACACATTCATTTAAAAAAATCATCATACAAAATAATTCTCAAAGCTGTTAAAAAAGTACACAGTCTTCTATATTTGAATAGTTCAAGGACTACATTTCATAGAGAACGTGATGATAAGGATAAATGTAAGGCTTTCACAAAGCTGATATTTCAAGAACAAAAATGTGAATTTCATCACCAAGTCAAAGTGAAGAAATTCATGGTGTCAAGATCCATTTAATTAAATAAACCTATGACAGGCATGCCCAGACATGGGCTACTTTAAAGTCCAAACAGTTAAATCAGGTATCCATTTGCACTAGAGAGAGGATAACACTTGGGAAATATCTATATGTTTTCTAATGACCTTTTAACACTCTGCTGAAATACCTACTTCAAAAAGCAAATATAGCATGTCCATGAATGTAGAGTACATGAAGGGAAGAAGCAGAAAGTGATTTACTTTCAGAGATGATGCATTTAACATACATTTTTATCAGATCTGTGTGTTGGTGTCTACACAGCATGTCAATTTGAGAGCATCACTGAAGGATACAACAAAAATAACTAGGTATGCCTGGATCTACAAACAGCTGGAGCTCCTATTAATAGTCTGTTTTTAACCAGTTAAGCTAAATCTGTGCAACTCTTTCATACAGAGACCCAGTTTTATTTAATACTAAACCATTTCAGTCTTGCTCAATTGGCAAGAAATAGGCTTGCAGAAAATCCAAAGGGAATTATTCATCTGAAAGGAAGTTTCCATGCCAGGGGGTTGCACTCATTAGTTTAACTTTTTGCTCAGAATGTAGACCAGACAAATATGTGTAGCTCAGTGTAACTATATGTTGAGGTCTCTACCAACACAAACAAGTCTCTAATACAGGTGTCACTTCATCAGCTTTAACAGAACATAATAGCATAAACTGTCTCAATAGGGAAGAAAATAAAGGACTGCATTCTAATCCAATGGAATGACTGCCTGAATGTATCTGCTCACAGGTAATCCTTGAAATTGTATAAGGAATGGGACAGTGGAAATAGTCTGTTCACCAAAAAACATGGGGCACAAAACTAGTCAACTTTTGCATTTTCTCAAAGATGAAAAGAAGAATACCTTGATTTAACCATCTAAAGGCTGAATGCATAAAATGATAGAGAGCACCACATGTTGAATTAACTGCAGAATTCACAGTGGAAAACAGAGCATACATAAAACAAATTAAGAAATTCAGCACATTTACCCATGCTGTTTGTTTTTAAGTACAACTCTTTCACCTCAGTCACACACCATCAGTGCACAGGAACAAAGCTTTTATAATTTTTGAAGGCAATTTCCCTAAATACCAATAAAAGCACCAAAACTTAGAAAATCTGGCTTTGTAACAAGTTTAACAAGGGGGATGAGGCTAACTTGGGTATTTACTTCATACAGATTATGCTCCAGAGACACGTTTGCGCAGGTCATGTGGCCAGCAGGTCTCCCACTTACACCAAGCAGCAGTAATGGGCTACAAGATTGTGCCTTGAAATATGTAAGAAATGACTTGGATGGGAAAATGCTTAATTTGTCACTATGTATGCAACATGTCACAGGTCACCATTGTTAAAAAAGATGCCCCATGTCTTCCGTGAAGCAAGTATGACTGAAACCAAAGAAGAGCATTCTTGAAGTGAGGGAAGACACGTGAGGTCTGTAATTCTTCAGTTCTCTTAATTTTGCTCTTTGCTTCCCTCCCTATATCTCGCATAGCAGCGAGCTGGAAGCAAGCCCTCAGTCAGTAACTCGGGTTCAGCTGAACTTGCACTGAATATTTCAGTGTGATATAGGGGTTATAAGGAGAAAAATCTTTTTTGATTCTCAAAATGGCTTGGGCAGAAAAATGAAACATCACAGGAAGAACCACCTTGGGAGGACTAGGACCATGTGCATAACAACTGATGCTGGGGTCCTTTTTTTTTTTTTTTTTTTTGGAAGAGGCTGGTGTCTCAGCTTTAAGTACCTGTTATAGAAAGATACTGTAGCACCCATCCATACAGACAGTTCAATTGTTGAAGGAGAACTGAAGAATAAATGGGGTATGGTAGAGTGTTGTATGAAAGATACAGCATAGGTCACAGCTTAAGAAACTATGTGTTATGTGGGAAAAGTGAAGATTTCTTGCCATGTATATATACTTGGACAAGAAAATTTGCACTGGAGTGCTCACTATTACAGAATGAAGATAGGTGTCTGTTGATCTAGTTTGAAAATAGACAAATACATTTTCTGAATACTTGTACCCACATGTGTGGTTGCATTTAAGCTGGTAGTGCTTCATTTATAACAGGAGCACTTGCATTTTTTTTTTTGTTTACAGACTTTATCAGTGGTATACAAGATACACCTAGGTGACAGATTATTCCAAGTATAACATAACACAGTTTTGTTGTAGATAGTTAAATATTGCCTGGTTCACATTTTGTTTCCTGATGGGAGCAAGAATATAAACTTTGCATGGGAAAATGGATCAGAGAATGGCATCCTGTTTGGGTTGGAGAATGTCATGCTATTTTATAGAATCTGAGAAACTCCTGCATATAAGACTTTATCTTACTCATTTGTAACAAAAAGGTCACCAACTCCACTTGTTACAAATGTGCAGTAGGTAACGTAATCTGGACCCAGTATAAGCGAAGGAGAAACTCTCTGATAATCCGAACAGCCGTAATTCCAATATGCCTGGACAAAAAAGTCCTGTACATTTCTCAGAAACTGAATCAAAAATAAGGGAGAAATAAAAACTTTTTTTGTTTTAATATTCAGGTTTCCCAGAAACACAGATAGGTTGTTGTTTATCTTTTGTTTTTAAAAGGTGCTGTTAAATATGATATTATTAAAAAAAATCAATATGTAAAGTATCTGGATTCCAAGGATAAAAAGTCAGTGAAAACTGCTTTTTGAATATATGACAAAATGATTTACAAACATACTAATCTGCTCCATGCAGGGCCTGCATTACACTATGAAGAGCTCTGTACACACCTTCTGTCAGCTGAGAAGAACGAAGGCTGAGTTTCTGCAATAAATTCTTTCTGTACTTACAGTGGATGGGAAACCGCATGCCTTCAAGGAGTCGGGCTCGTGTGGGAACTATTATGGACTTCAGAAATTTATACTGATGTCACTACAGAAAATGAAATAACTAATAATATAAATTTTACCATTACCAGCTGTCTATTAAAGTGGCCCAAAGCCAAAGTATATGCAATATGCTTCCCCCCATTTTTAATAGTGTTTCTAGCAGCCAGTCACCTTTTGCTGACTGAATATTAGGAAATATCCACTATCTTGTACATCATCATTTTTTCCTGCATTTAGCTCACTAAGAAATCAAAAAGCAAAGAACAGTATTCAGTCCAAAACTGAGGTCTTGCCAGGGAAAAGATGTTTGAAATGCATTAACATTCAGGTGGATTTTTAGAAGTGCCTTAGAGAATATTCATGCTGAATTTTAAAAAGGAAAATTATCAGATTGTCTCAATGTGCAAGCCACAACAAGTTTTTTTGCAGGCTTTACAATTTTTCTGCATGATATGGTCTCCATAACTTTAAATTGAAAAAATATATATATATATTTTGTTCATCTCTCTCTCTCTCTCATAAAAACCCTTGGTTTTTCAAAAGCAGTAAGTGATCACAACTTGACTTGCAACAAAACATCCCACTCGTAAATCCTGAAATCTCTCCACTCAAAATTCTTATCATCATCCAAAAGCCAGTTCTATGTTTCTGAATGACATCCTTATTAACAGCAGAATATCTGTGCGTATACACATAGAGTAAGCTTTCTTATGGAGTTTAGAGACATGCCCTGGGAGGCAGGGGGATGCTTTAACAGTGCAGCTCCTGGAGCCACGCTAATTAAAAGCGCCTGGAGCGTCATATGTATCAGTGTCCCCAGGCTGAAAAATGGCAGCAGGATGCTTTGAATTAAAGCTCATTGAACAATTAATCAAATCTGCTCCAACGCACTGGAATTACAGCCTCCCTGCACGTGTACAGGAGCCCCTAGTTTCACAGGGCTCTACGTTCTACACACACGTACCAAAGTAGAATTCATTCCTGTGCAAAAGGGCCCATGAACCAGGTAGGCTCATCGTTGCCCACTGGCTAGCAGTCTGCACAGGTGAATTTCATCCCTAGAAGATGCAGAATATGTCTCTTTCTGAAGGAAAGACGAGATTCTTTTGTCTTCATCCTTTGCCAAGTCAGCATAACTGCCTGCCATGAAAGATAAGTGTAGTAGTATGGCACCCATTTAAATAGCCTGGCTAAGTGTACAGCAATATCCATTTAAACTTGAGTAAACATCAATCACTAACTTCTGGTTACAGGAACTCTTCGATTGAAATGGAAAGCTCTTGGGTCCCATTCTCATTTGCGAGGGTCTCATCACACCACACATTAACACCCACTTTAAAGTCCCATAAAATGCCAGAAGGATGTAAATGGGATTCTGTAAATTAAATCAAGTTCTATCAACTAAATGCCCAGTTCAAAGGCATGATCATTTTACTTGAAATAAAGTGAATATCCCAAGGAACTGGGAGGAATCTCTCCTCTCCAGCTGACAGCTCTTTTTATGAACCATACAAGCTGGTTCACAATATTAACTTTAACTATTAAATAAATGCATTACGAAGTTGCAATCTAGGATATGTGGCATAAGAAACCACTGACATTTTCTGACAGGTCACACCCACAACAATACATTATATCTGCCTAACTGTAACTTTGCATCTTTCATATGCTAAGCTTTTTTCCCCCTCTAACTATTTGCAAAGCAGTAATAAATACTCAGGCTTAGGAAGTAAATAATTCTCATGCCTGCTACTTAATTACAGTTTATAGACCCAAGACTAGATTGGTCTAAGATACATTTTCAAGTATTCTCTTCTTGTTTGTAGAATGACAGTAGTACCCTATTGCACATTGTTTCTGAAAGATTCTCCTCTACAAGTGTGGGAAGTGGTTCTGATCAGGGCACTTTACAGACCTGAATCCTGGCAGAACTACTTTCCCTTTCCGGTACAGATCGTCTTGCAAACCTTTGTTCATCCTCTGCACCAGCAACTTTTCATACAGTAGTGGATGATAAGCCCCCAAGGTACAAGCAGCATCATAGTACAGTTCGTGATAGTGACAAAGGTCAGTTTGTCGGACTGAAGGAATGTATTCATACACGTGCACTTCATCACACATGGACATCATGATGAGGATCCCTGAAATGAAACGTAAAATAAACATGAACATATTTAATCACTTTTAGAATATTTTCCCAGCACATCAAATGATCTGCTTCCTTTACCACTGTATCTTTGTTTTCATTGTTCATAGTTTAAAATATCTGACATTAGCATAAATTAATAGAGCAGGTTTTGTTTTATGCTATTATATAAAAAGATTGTGCTGTCTTGCAAAACTGACACGCTACAGCAAAGATGCATATGAAACTATAACAGGCTTCTCAGCAAAGTGTCCTAACCATCAGGGCTAGGCTCTGAATAGAGCTCCCTCTAGCTCTTCTCCTGAAGCTGGATCAATGGGCTGAGAGGAAGATATGTGGAGCCAGAAGCTGAGCAAGCCAGAGTGATCAGAGTGAGTGTGACTCAATAAAATTGACAGTGAGACTTTGGATTTTGGCCCCAGAACACATTAGTCATTGGATAAAATGGGCAGACAGCGTGGGATAGCTTCTGCCTCACTGAGTGGGGACAAGAGCAGGAGCAGGGGCCAAAACTCAGTGCTCATTTCATTAAGCTCCACATACCTTCCCCTCTCGGCTACCCAGTACCAGCACTTTGCTGGGACAGGGAGGTGTAGGCACAAACCTCTTCTAGTTGACGGGGGCCTGGAATTTAGGTCTGCCACTCCCAGACCAACTACCCTAACTCCTAGACTAGGGGTGCTCAACGTCTAGCTCAGGGGCTAAATGCAGCTTGCCGAGATATAGGTATCCAGCTTGGAGGGCTACTCACAGATCAGGAAATTTGGTGAGAGGGGGTCAGTGGCCATAAATATGACCACCCTCTGCTGCTCCCAAATTCCCCAAACCCAAGATCTGTGACTGGATGAGGCTGAGCCATGACCCTCCCACTGGGCTGGATGGGACCAGGCCACACCTGCTTCCCCTGTGTGGGGCTAGGTCATACCTTCTTTCCCCCATAGGGGCCTGTTGGGGCTGGGTCACACCCCCTTCACCCTGTGGGGCTGGATCATACCCCCATGTGGCCAGGTTGGGTCTAGGCCACACACCATTTCTCTCGTGGGAACAAGTTGTACCCATTTTCCAATTGCAGGCCTAGGTTGGATCTGGGCCAAGCCCCCTTACCCCATGGGGCTGGTTTGGAGGTGGGCGATGCACCTTTCCCCATGAGGCCAGGCCATGCCCACCTTTCCAGGGCCAGGTTGGAGCCAGGCTGCCCCTGCCCCTCTCTGTTCAGCCAGATGGGGTCCTTTGGCGACTGCCCCATGCCTGCCAGTCAAAAAGGTTGGGCACCACTGGACAAGCCTATGTGGCTTTTCTCCTTTTTCCTCTACTGCTTTTTTTTTTTTTAGACTTAAATATAGTTACACACCTAACCAGGGGAGAAGGATTTGAAATCAGTGTTCAGTAGCACAAATTACACACTTGCCTCTAAACTTCACCCACTAGGTTTTATACAAAATTTTATAAATAATAGATAACCTAAGGTACTTCTTCAGGCACCTTCTGCCTTTGTATCGATACTCTGAACACAACAGCCTGATTGCATAAATTTCCAAGGGTCTCTTTTATTTCCTTCCTTATGGTTTCAGATGTGTGTGTCCCACAAAGACATCCACACAATGACTTCAGTTTAAACTTTAGGAAGTCAATGTTAGGAAAAGCTGCCCTAGAGAGGAAGGCCTGCCATTTCAGCTTGAATGTTGAAAAGGTTGTGCTTAGCTTAGCTTCAACCATTTTTGGAGATGGTAGGGACTGAATATATGGGTAGCTGAGCCTCTTCTATGGATTTGTGTATAGCTTCTCTGATCTCCTCAGAGAAATTCACATAGCTGTTGAGAAGGATGGGTTTTCATGTAGCACTTGTAGGTGAGCAAGTTTGTGTGGAAGCCATTCTGCAATTTTTTTGAGAGGAAGGAGCAGATCCAGAATACAGCAGACCTATTTACTTTTGCTAAGTGTCTAGCATCATATCAGTAAATGGTGTTAAAGGCTACTGACAAACTCAGCAGTATTAGTAGAGAGGCCCACTTCTCGTTTAAAAGCTAGATATAGGACTAGGCAGGCAAAGTTCTTTGGGTAGATGTGATATACCTTCTTAGACCAACTAAATAGTTGGAAAAAGTTCTTTGCAAGCTTTCAGGCACAAATACCCTTCATCAGGCATAGGGAGACTCTGCTATATATAGGACTAAGCACCATGCTAGGCATGGTCATTCATATTACCACGTTTATGCATGAAGTCTGGCTATGAAGGAATCTGGAAGAAGCCAGATTCTGTTACACCTCTGAAAGCTCCAGTTCCTCAATGCCTTTTCTAAAAATAAGATGGTATATTTGCCTTCGGAAAGGGATTTTATATTATTTAGTTTGGTTGTCAGGGCATCCTAAACTAAACCTCTCTGATAGTCATTACTGATTAAGGCAATGGTTTTCAACCTTTCTGGGCTCAAGACACCCTTTGGAAAACATCAACTCTTAGTTTTCACTTGATTTTTGATAGAGCAATTCTTTTGTTCCAAAGAACTCAAAAACATTTTAACCTGTTGTGGTCTCTAACATTCTGGACTCCTATCTGAAATCTCTCGCATTATCTTGTGAATCACATTTGCACACCTAAGTGCTGGCATTTTGTGAAACCCTATATCCCCCCTGAAAGAATCTTAAGGCACCCCAGGATGCAATAGCACTCTGGTTGAAAATCATCAGATTAAGAGAAGGGAAGAGGGGTATTTCTGTTTTATGTACTCACAGAAATATGTCTAAAGATTATTAAATATTTTAGAAGACATTTTCTTAAGAATCCAGTTTTAGAAAAATTCAAGGTAGTTATAACTAATAAATGTACCATATTTTCATTAATTTATGAGACTACTGCCACTATGGCAGGCCACCATTCAAGACGATGCTATTTAGTGTGGCAAGCCAGAACTTCGCTTTTCCCATCAAAAAGTTTGGAATTTGAAACTCAAGGGAGTTAAAACATAGAAAATCAGGGTTGGAAGGGACCTCAAGAGGTCATCTAGTCCAACATTTCCCAACCTTTTTTGCCCGACGGCACACTTACCTAAGGAGCTGGGGGGTGGTGCACGGCCAGCTGGATGCTGATGGGGATGGGGGGGCATGCGGCCAGCCGGACGGCATTTTGGGCTCGAGTCATGCCCCCTGCCTATCTGTGGCCACAGCAGCAGCAGGCAGGGGGTGTGGCTCCAGCCCAAAATGCTGTGGCACACCTGGACGTGCCTGATGGCATACCAGTGTGCCATAGCACACCAGTTGGGAAACGATCTAGTCCAACCCCCTGCTCAAAGCAGGACCATCCCCAACTATAATACCATACTTAAAACAGAAAATGTTATTTTAATGTTTAAATATTGGAAATGAAATATTAAGCCATTATTTTGCATATTTCAGTTTGAAAATGCCCATTTTTCAGTGCTCATTAATTCAAAAGGGAACATTCATAGAAGTTAGTTATTCATAGACTCAAAGAAGTTAGGGGCTGGAAGGGACCTCATGAGATTATCAGGTCCAGCCCCCCTGCTCTTAGGCAGGAAAGAAAAGACTGCTGGGATCAGATGACGCCAGCAAGGTGCATGTCTAGTGAACTTTTGAAGATCTCCAGGGTAGGTGACTACCACCTCTAGAGGGAGTTTGTTCTAGACTCTAGAAACGTGAACCGTAAAGAAGTTTTTCTTTATGTCCACTCTGAAGCAATCTTCTCACTGTTTATGTCCATTATTCCTCATCTTCCCCTGGTGTGCCTTGGTGAACAGATGCTCCGCCAGCCCCTGATGTTTGCCTCCCTTATATTTATAAGCTGCCACCAAGTCCCCCCTAAGTCTTCTCTTCTCTGGGGTGAACAGTCCCATGTCCTTCAGCCTCTCCCTGTATGGCCTGTCCTCCAGACCTCTAATCATATGTCTGGCTCTCCTTTGGACTCTTTCAAGCTTCTCCACATCCTTCTTGAAGTGTGGTGCCCAGAACTCCAGCTGCGGCTTCACCAGTGCCGAGTAGAGTGGGAGGATGACATCCTTAGTCTTGCTTGAGATGCATTCTTTTCATCCTACCTTGTGTAACAGGGCTGGGCCCTGTTACTATGGATGTGGCAGAGCCCAAATAGCCCCACACCCCACATAGGGCATGAGGAGAAGCTGGCCCATGTGGGCCAGGAGGGGAAATAAAAAGTACCTGAACCAGCCTCTCAGTGTGGCTGCACCAGCAGCACAGCAAGGAATGCTGATATACTGAGCCTGGGGCTAGCCGGGGGCAAGCAGTTAGTGGGAGGGACAGTGAGCAGGGCTCTTCTGCTGCTCGTTTATTCTGTTTGCATGGAAGCCATGCAGGCTTCTTTCAAAGTCCCTGAGGGACAATAGGTGACAGGGAAAAAGTGAAGCCCCCAGGGTCTGACTGACAAGCCACGGATGCATCAAGCCAGCAAGGACCCACTCAGAAAGCTAAGTGGTAGCTTATTCATTGGACTTTATTTTTCTTCTGCAGTTCTTACAAATCCAGGGTTGCCTGGTGGTGCTATATCCTGGCTGCAGCAGAGGTGAGGACCCTGAATAGTGGGTCCTTAGCTTAAGGTAGCAGCAAAAGTAAAAGTGGTTGGCTCAGGGTATCCGACCAAACATGCCTAGCTCTGCCCTGCCCCAAATATTAGACGGTCAATGTGATAGATTTTTAAGGTATTTTAAGTAATTATTTTTGTAATTAACTCCTATCATTAGATAGAGGGATCAGAATTATATTTTAAATGACACTGAAGTTTTCCTTTTACAACTGGTTATATTTTAAGGATATAAAAAGGCTAGCAGTGACAGAAAAAGAGAAGTACATAAATATGTGAATTTTACAGTTTCATTCTTAAGCAAGAAGGTTTTAGGATAA